CTGGGGAATCCTGGGAGTTGAAGTCCACTCATCTTAAAGTTGCCAAGGTTGAGAAACACTGGTCTAGAATATCAGCCTTTACCCACTTGAAATTGTGGGTGAATTTGTCTCTCTGTTGCCAGATTAAGGGACAGACACATAGGGATGTGTTGGTTCCTTAATCTTTCAACACGTAGACAAATCCACCCACCTTTCAGCCGCAATTTTCACACCCTCCCTTGCAGCCAGTGCCCAGATAAGCAGGAAACAGCATCAGATAAACTGTCAGGGAAGAAGAAGCAATATCCAAATCAATTCCTATAAAGGAAGAAACCACACCCCAAACCAGTTTAGAGCCAGTATGGTCTAGTGGTGAAGGCCCCAGGCCAGAAAGCAGGAGGCGGTGAGTTCTAGTCCTGCCTGAGGCACGAAAGCCAGCAGGGTGACTTTGGACCAGCCCCCCTCTCTCAGCCCAACTCACCTCACAGGTTTGTGGTGGTGGGCAAAATAGGAGGAGGAAGGAGCATGAGGTATGTTCACCACCGTGAGTGATTTATAAAAATAATAAAGGCGGGATAAAAAATCTTTAAAAAAAAAAGGGACCGGCAAGGCAAGCTCCAATATCTAAACATCCAGAAACTCCACTGATGATGTTACCTAGCCTGGTAACGAAACGTCCAAGCTCAAAGAACACCCAGAAGGTGCTTTTGTAAAAGAAATAAAGCGTTAATAAAACCACTGATAAAACCAAAGCATTTTCTTTCTGTCCCCTCCCGCCAAAACACTTGGGGACCAGATTCTGCATCGACAGATGCTTTTCTATCCTGTTCCAAGGCAGCCCCGTGTAGAAAACATTGTCATGGTCTAGTTGTTCTTCTTAGAATTAGTTTAATATACCCAATTATTGGATTTGTCAGGCACTTGGGTGACTGGAGCAGCTTTTTTGTCCATTCAGCCATTTAGGGGCTGAAAGTATTGAACTCTTTAAATAGTGATTTAGCGATGGGTTGAGCCGGTACAGATTCACTGACGTAAATGGGAGTTAAAATTCTGATTAGACCCAACTTGTAGAAGATGTTGCCAAATAGCATCTCCCCTCATCTGAGTATCTAAACCAGTCTTTTCCAACCTGGTACAAGCTGAAAAGCAGACTGGGACTCATGGAGTCTGTAGTCCCACCCAGCTGGAGGATCTACAGTTCAGGAAGGCTGGGCTCAAGGACATCACATGCACTTAGGAGGTGTGTTGTCTCTGGCTTAGAAAACTGTCTGATTATGCTCAGTAACTTGCATTTTTTCTCCCCACATGTCTGTGTGTGTGTGTGTTTAAAAAGAAATTTTGTCATTCAGTTTGGAGGAGACAAAAAGCATGTATGTATCTGCAGAAGCTTTTCACGGAAAACACTAATCTCAGCTGAGCCGCATAATAGAAAAACGTAGTTGCTTAAAAGGTGGTATCATTATAAAAATTCATAATGCTGGTGTTAGTCTAACATTGTAATGTGCTTCCTATTGTTAGCTTTTTAAGTAAGGTAATAGAATTCCTCCTCCTTTTTTTAAAAAAAAAAATCTGGCTTTCATCGTGAAGGAGAGAAATGAAGCTTTAGACTTTGGAAGCTCAGCTGCTTTTTATCTTTTTTTTTTTTCCCCCTCCTCTCTCTCTTTTTTCTTGATAGATTTATGCCCAGAGTGGAGATAGTGCAGAAACATAACACGGCAGCCCGAAGACTCTATATCCGAGGCCATAATGGAAAGATTTACCCATATCTTGTCATGAACGATGCTTGCTTGACCGAGTCGCGTAGAGAGGAACGGGTGCTACAGCTGCTTCGCCTCCTCAACCCTTGTTTAGAAAAGAGGAAAGAAACCACAAAGAGACACCTGTTCTTCACCGGTGAGTTTGACAAGAGCGAGCAGCAGCCAAGAAGCTGTAAGAACCGCGGTACTCTGTTCCCAACGAAAGCAACTCCCATTGAAACCAAGGCGGGTTCAAAGGAAAGTTCATTTATTGGAAAGTAGTGAACAGCTCTAGAAGCATAGCTGGAGCTGAGCCCCGTGTGCGCCAAAACCTAGTTTTGCCTCATCCCCACTTCATCCTTCTACTGTCTTTGAATCTCTCTTGTGCATGTTGAAGATTCTCTCCAGTTCTCACGTTGGTACAACCTTGGGCATTCCTGAGAGCCAGATAATAGTCCGTCTGCGCCTAACGGTTAACCTCCCAACCTTCCCTCCTTTCCTCCCCTTCGCTGAAATGACAGAAACGAAGCAAGCGAACTAGCAGTGCAAGTGATTGATTGCGAGGATTCTGACATAAGCCTTAACATATGGGGGGGGGCGGGGGGGGAGGGACTGTAGTTGGGGCTGAGCCATGAGGAGGGCAGGTCAAAATTGGATGGCGTTTGGAGCAGGGCCGCCCAGGGAGTGAAAAGATGTGG